CTCTGAACCTCAGTTACAGGCTCTGAGGTGCTCATCCCTCGGAAATGAATCGCCACCTCCCAGGCCCTGGGCTCGGCCTGGGACACAAGATGCCGCTGAAACACAGTCCTGGCACTCCAGGGACTGAGCAGGCATGGACCCCAAGAGCTGTAAAGCGGGGTGAAAAGAAATGAACAAAAATGTTTATAGAGGTGCCACCCAGGAAGACAGGAGGGGTCAGGAGAGACATTGTGGAAGGGGCGACATGGAAACCAGGTCTTAAATGAAAGTTTGTGAGGAGACTAAGCTGGAGATGGGAAAGGAGAGGAAGTGGCGGTCCATTTAAAGAGAAATGTGCAAAGACACCGAAACATGAAACAATATAGCGGGATGGGGAACTGCACAAGCGAACTGGTGCGGCTGAAGCCCTGAGTGCAGGCGGGACATGCACTGTGAGGCTGGCGCAGGGGTAAGGCCACATCAGGTGGGGCTGGAAGTCCCACTAATCTAAAGGGACTCTGGCTTATAAGTAAAGACCTTGTATGTGGAGTCCAGCTGCCTGCCAATCCCCCGCCTCTGTGTTCCCATCATCTCCAGAGGGGCAGGAAGCACAGACGGTGCTGTGACCCCACCCAATCACTTACCCAGGCGATTCCCCCCAAATTCTAGAGCAAAGCCTTCTCAACTCACAGGGACTCCTCTTAGCCACAGGTGTTTTTGTGTCTTGGAGCTGTGACACACTAAGGACTGATCTTGCAGAAATGAGTTCACATGGCTTTCAGAATATGGCATCCTTAGGATAAGTCTTGTAAACAGATTTGGAACTTTGTATAGCCAAAGTAGCTTTTTGGGGCTGAGTGAATGAAAGGGTTATTACATGGCCCAGGGCTCAAAGCAGACATTGTTGGGAGCTGAGAGAAGGCACACGTTGGTTGTACATTTTCCTGCAAGATCGTACCTGTGCTGAGAATCCTAGAACTTCGATGCAGACCCTCACCAGGGCCCAGGACTTAGTAAAAATTCAGAAACACAAAATCACAGGAAGCTGGCAGAGGCTGGAGCTAAGGTAGAAGAGGCTTAGGACAGGGAGGCAGGGGGAGGCTGTTGCATTTGTGGCCACCTCCATTCCAGCACTTAGAGGGACTGCCCTCTAATGCCCTCCTGGTCCCTTCTTCTGATGGTGACACCCAGGACTCATGGAAGAACCCAGCAAATTCTGTGGGAGCACAGGGGTGTTTCTGTGGAGCCTACTGACCATTAAATCCGCCTCTTACTGCCAGCTGAGTGGTCCTTTGTTCTAACCTCTCTTCCAGCAGGCACTGCCCTCTGAGAAAGCCCCTGACCAGACTTCGGAGATCTAGACAGGCCTCGGTGTGACGGACGTAGAAAATGACCCAGCAAGGGGCAGTGGTTGACTGAGGGTCACACAGTGAGACAACGGCAAGAGCGAGGAGGACCCGGGGCTCCTCATTCTGCCTTACCATCTGACATCCTGGAGGTGACTCAGAGGGACAGTCGGCGCAGGAAGGAAGTGGGAAAGGGAAGCCCAGCCCGCTGGATTCCAGGTCACTGCTTGGTTAGTCTAAAGCCACCAACCACCTTAGCCATGAGGCTCTGCCTGCTGCCTGTGACCTTGCAGCCCTTCCTCCCCAAGGCCACAGCTGCTGATCGTTTCCTCCTGGGTCAAGCCCGCTTGACCTCACCAGGGTCTCCAGGGACCCTCTGCTGCCCAGTCCCATGGTGCTTCCCTCCAGCTGGGTCAGGGGGTCACTTCCATAGACTTGGCCAGTGGCCTAGCCTGTGTGGGCCAAAGGTTCATAAGTGAAATGAGATGAGGCATAATTATAGCCTCATATTTTTTAATAACTAGGGGTCTGTGGCCAGTGTTCAGTGCTCATCATCGGCTGGCCACGGGTGCTTTGGTTAACTCAGTTTCCTTGTAAATCTGTAAAATGAGGTGATATTATCTACTTCCTCCGTTGCTTGGAGGATTAGGTAATACATGTAAAGCCAGCCATAAACTAAGCCATACACGATGGCTCTTGTCATCGCTTACTTTGCTAGGTAGATGTATACGCACCATTTCATTTAATTCTCGGAAGTCTGCAAAGCAGAAAGGATTATCCTCCTCAGATGCCTGAAACTCAGGGAGGTGAGAGCACAGAGCTCCTGGCTGGTGGAGGCAGGATTTGAGCCTGGTTCAGTCTGATTCCAGAGCCCAAGCGTTTTCCATCAGTTGCAGCACCTTATGTAGTCTGTGCTGGTGTTCACCCCTGCAGCTGCTTGCTTGTGTGGCAGGATCTCTGTCCCGTCCCCCTGGATTCCTATCCTGGTTCTGCCCCTTCCTGGGAGTGAGACTTGGAGTCTCGGAGCCTCTGGGGCCCCATCTGTACCCTGGGAAATTGGTGTTCTCCAGCCATCTTCCCGGAGAAACAGCTGGCGCATGCAGTGGAGCTTTGCTGCTGCTCTGTGCGGTCTGAATGCGAGGTGTCATCCTGTGGCTGGAAGCACTGCTGGGACTGTGATCGATGCAGCCTGTAGTGGGGGATCCAGGAGGACCGAGCCTGTAGGAGCGTCTGCCTCAGCCACCACAGGAAATACCACTGACTCCATTAGCACTCAACTTTCCAAAAGCTGAGGACAGGCCTCTGGGAGCAAGGAGGGTGCGGCTGCAGACAGCGGAGTCTGCCCCACACTCCAGCTACATGGGCCTCCTGCTGAGTCACCCAGCAGGCCAGGCTGCTCCTCCACTCCCCACCCCAACCCCGGGACTGTCCAGGGACAGGAGACTACCCCCTCCTTTGTCAGCCTGAGTCCCCACCTCAACTGCAGCATGTGACTATATCATATTTCCAATTCCCACCTTGAATCCTTGGTGGAACAAGATGAGGGTTTTCTGTCTGTATCTCTTGCTGGATTGTAAGTTCCATACAGGCCTGTCCTGTGTCACTCTCTTTGTGATTCTTAGTAAACAGCACAGGGCACCTGTGGGGATTTGTGGCATGGGTCTCTCTCTGTCCACGCAGCCCCATGCTCTGTCTCACAATCTTCCCATCCCCCACTCTCACAGACTGGGTGTGTGTTACAATTGTGCAAAACAGCGAAGGAGAGAGACAATAGCAGATTCTACTATAAGCAAGTGAACTCATTTATGTTTATGGAAGTTGCCTCACATCATGGCTATCTTGATGCATTCTGGACTGCCTTTTTGGTTCTGGGCTATATCAAAGAGCCAAGTCCTTGTTTACAGAATCTCTTCCAGAAAAGAGAGATGATGTTTAATATACAATATGGGGTGGTGATCAGGAGTAGAAATCCATCAAGAGCCCCATAAAATTGTCTTCTTTTCTCCTTACATGGTTTCTGATGAGTGCATGTGACTGGCTACTCCCAGAGCACAGCAAACACTGTCTGACCTGAACACAGCTGGATCTTTTAACTACTGGCTGGATCCACGTACAAACCCAGACTCTCATTTGGCCCAAGGGGCCCTGGCAAAGGCAGTATCAAAGCCTTCCCGGAGTTGGGGGTGGGGAACAAACAGAGAGCAGGAGTTTCTGAACCCTGAGAACCCAGGAAGTGGTTCCAGCTGCTATGAGTCTCTGGTTTTCATCTGTGAAAAGGGAGAATAAAACCTGCCCTGCAGAGTCGCTACAGGATCACTATGAGATTATAGCATGTTAAAACAACTAGCTCAGAGCGTGGTAAGAATCCATGGATACACACATATTAATTTAGCACCTGCTATTGGCCAGGCACTGTTCCGGGCAATGGGAATAATGTATAGACAATGGCATATTAGATGGCGGTGAGTGCTATTCAGAGACGCAAAGCGGGAAACGGGGTGGTAGCTGTAGGATGTGTTGCCATTTTAGGCAGGGGCCAGGAAAAGCTTCAACAAGAAGAAGATAATCAAGTAAAGACCTGAAGGAAGTGAGGAAGTGAACTACATGCATGTTTTTCCCAGCAGAAGAAAAAGCAAGTGCAAAGGCCCTGAGGCCAGAGTTTGAGGAACTGTATGAAGGTCAGAGGACCTGGTGTGTAAAAAGTCATTTCTGGCCGTGTCATTGGGACTGTGAAGGCATTTATAAGACCTTTGGCTTTTACTCAGAGAGAGGAAACCCCTGGAAGCTTTCCAGACAAGTGCTGACACAACTTGACTTTTATAACCACCAATAAACTTAGGCTGCCCCTTCCCTTCAAAGCCTACTTGATACCCAGACCTCTGCAACCGCCACTCACATGCTTTCTCCTTACTAAGATTTCTTCCAGCTTTCTAAATCTCTCCCAGCCAGGAGGGCCTCCTCATTTTCTGCCAAGTGCAGGCTGCAAAGATGCCTGGCAGAGAGATTGTGGTTGGGATGAGAGAGAAACATAGGAGTCTTAGGTTGGAGATCTTACGGTCCCTGATGTTCGGAGGACTTCCGGGGCTGGCTAGGCTGCAGTGTGCGTGTGTGCGCGCGCCTGCACAGTGATGCTGGGGACACTCACAGAGTCCTCGGCGCCACTTCATCGCCTGAGACAGCGCCATGTAGAATTGGGAATTTCATTTGGCATTCCCTCACCCTGCTTGTCTACCAAAAGGTGAAATCATTTGTTTTAAAATAAAACACTTCCCATCTCTAGCAAAGCTTCTTAACCTTTTTTTGGGGGGGTCACCTGCCCCTTTGAGGATCTGCTGAAAGCTATGCACTGCCTCTTCAGAAAATGAACACGGGATACACATTCATCCTTTTGTGATTTCAGGGGTTTCACAGATCCCTGAAAACTCAGTGAAGAAACTGTTATCTATGCCAACGATTTCCCAATCTGTACCTCTAACTGAATAAGTAAATGAATGAAAAAAAAAATAAAGGAACGAAGAATAATGAAGGTGTACGTAGATGAAGGAACAGCAGGGGATGAACAAGACAGACAGACAGACACAGCCTCCTTTGGGCACCAGGATTCTTGACGGTTGGTTTCTGCTGCCTTGAAAGAAATCTTGTTTGACAGGCGTCCTGCAGAGAGACGCAGCTTACCTCCATAAGCTTCATTTCGTCCAATCCCTCTGAGTGATGCTCTTTCTAAAAGGTATCACCCACTTTCCTGCCTTTCTCTGGGTACCTTGAACAAAACAAAGCAGAACCTTTTCAGGGTGACTACTGGGCACCAGTGTGAATATACATTCAGACCCATAAAAGTAAACAACCTGTTCTTCCTGCCACATAGCTGAGCCAGCTGCGGCTCAGGGCTGTGCCAGCCCTCCAGGCTTCCAGCTTCCCTGTTCATTTTATATTGCTGATACATCTCTTGAGAAGCTAGACTGAATTTTTAACTCATTCTCATAGTCACACCCTTCACTGTGAAGCTTTTAACCTAATCTCATTCCCCCCCAACAGCTGTTCTCTATTATAACACAGGGAGACCTCCAGGTGTGGCTGGGGTGTGTAGGAATCTGCCAAAACCCCCGATAGCCCCAGAGAGTTCTCCTGACAGAGCAGCGCCTCTGAGGCCCAAGAGGAAACGGGCACTGAGGGACCCTGTGGCCTCTTCACTCATCATTCTACCTCCTCCTGGGCACTGCACTCCAGCCACCCTGCACAGGAGTTCCCCAAAGGGACCTGCCGTTTCTCACCTCTGTCCCTTTGCATGTGCTGTGCCTGCCACCTGGCACACAGGCCACCACCTGCTTGTCTGACAAGAAAGCTCTTATCTCTGCCAGAGCCTCACCTTCCCAGCCTCCTCAGACAAACCTGTTTCCTTCCTTTCTGACTTCTGTGTCCTCACTTCAACACAGCACTTGTTACATTGTCTGTCCAGCTTTCAGCCTTTGTTACATTGCCTTTCCACCTCCTTATTTTGAATCTTTTTTAGGGGAACAAAGTTGGAGCTTAGATAAACTTAAATAAACACTTACGGTTGTTTATTTACATGTCATTTCCTGACCTGTGTCTTACTTGTCTTTATTTCCCCAGCAAAGAGCACAGGACCTTCTGATGTTTTAGTGATTATTTGTTAATAAAAGTTCCCTTTGTAGAGTTGCTCCCTCTCTAACCCTTACAGTTGGATTATCTGTTGTTACCTCAACCCCCCAGCTTTTAGGGTCCCACCTCTCATGGCCCCCACAACTAGAGCCCCCACTTCTAATCTGCTGGGAATCTGTTAGAATTGTGCGTAAACCAGGAGGAAACAGGCACTGAGGGACTCTCTTGGGAGCAGACTAACCAGCTGACATTATGGACGCACACTACCGTGCGTCACGTTCTGGCTGCTCCGGTGCAGTTGTGCTTTCTGAGATCCCTGGTAGGTGAGGTCACTGGATGGGAAAACTCCTCCAGTGAGTTGTCATAGTAACCAGGACTTTCGATTTCATGCAAGAGAGTTCCTGAGAGGAAAGCACACCAAGGGGTGGGGGAGGAGTGGAAGGTATTCATCAAAGGCTTCCTCACATTGTCCTCCTGTTCCCTTTTCTTTGCTTCTTGCCGGTTTACACACTCAAGGTAGATGCCATTATGTGTGGGCATCTGAGTAGAGGCTGCTTAAAATAGCCACCTGACTATTTCAGGGAGCAGCTGAATATGCATGAGGCTATTTTAGAAGAGATGTCCCTGGTCCAGCCAATCCAAACCCCATCCTTTCCCTTGGAAATGCCAAGAGAAGCTGAATGGGACCTTTCTTAGTCTTTCCCACTGGGGTGGGGATTTTCAGAAGCCACAGAAACAACACTCCAGCTAATGTTGGTCCTGCAGCTCTGTCAGCACTGCCTCCTGATCCTGTGGTCACAGAGGCTCCTGCCCAGGCAGCTCAGCCCTCCAGAGTCCTCCAGAGCCTGGGCACCTTCAACGACAGCCATGCTGCAATCCAGTAGGCCTGGATCTTCCTGTGTGTGTATGGGCGCGGCGCAGGCAGGGGTTCTCAGACTCTAGGCATTTCCATTTGTTTGTTCGTTTATTCATTCAACACACATTTATTGCTAGATAAAATGTGTGAAGAACGTGTTGGGTGCTCGAGATTCAAAGGTTCCTGAGACAAGAGGGAAGTAGATGGAAAAGTGAGTAGAAATAATGGCTATATAGTTAAAAAATAGAGGGGGGGATTAGGAGAAGGAGTCCTTCCTCTTTCTGATGGTTTGAGAAAGAAGACAAATTTTTAGCAGAGCCCTGGGGGAAGAGTAGCAGGCCTGTACGTAGGGAGAGGCATGGTAGGCTCACGGAGAGGCAGGTGGTTTTGTTTGGCGGGGGTGGGACGTCCTGGCAGGAGGGACAGCGTGACTGTGTGTAAGATAAGCTGCCTTCAAGCATGAGTTGCGGTGCTCTTGGCCATGAGTTCAATATTAATGAATCAACAATGCCTATTAAATAAAGTATTTTTGACAGAAACACACAAGAAACAAAGTTATGTATTGATCGGTTGACAAGAGGGTTGTGATCAGAGGCTCCCGGGAACCTAATGCTATATTTCACCGAGGAGTAATGGTTCAGTAAACACTAAATCGGGGTTTGTGGGGACTTTATACAACATAGTTACTGTGAATAGTGAGAATCAACTATCCTTTTCTAGATACACAGCTGTATACTTTTATGCAGTTTGGAACATACCTTCCATATTCTTTTGACACCTTTAAAAAGTCATACCTTAATATGTTAAAGGTGTCTTTCCATGTCCCTAAATGCAGGTCTCCAGATGGCTGTATATCTGTGAACATTTCTTCAATTATTAACCAATAGTTCCCAACTAATGGACAATTTGGTTGCTGCCTATTATTTGCTAATTCTGAACAATACTATGATGAATACTATGATTCCTATTGGTAAGAGTAATATAGCTAACATTTATTCAGTACTTACTACGGGCCCAGCCTTCTGTTAAGAGTTTTATTAGCATGATCTCATTTAAGCCTCACAACAAGCCTGTGAGGGCAATGTTACGAGTATTATCATGCCCACATGAAAGATGAAGACTGATGCTTAGAGATGTTAAGTAACTTTTCCAGGGTCACACAGCTTAAAACTGGGTCTTTCTGGCCTCTGGTGCCTCATCCTTAACCAATGTGCTCTGCTGCTTCTCACACAGATAGTACCAGGAACTTTTTGATTGGTTCCTTAGGGTATCTGCTTAGAAGTGAACTACTGAGTTAAAAGGTATGCACATTAAAAAATGTGAGTATATTTAGTTAAACCTACCCCCAGCAAATGTGTACCAACTCACAACCCGCTAACAATGCTTGAGTGTCCCTGTTCTCACTCCTTATCTCCCAGATATTCGCATTCTTTGAAATAGGCCACTGCATGTACATCTTGATTCTTTAACGAGCATCCTTTGACCACTGGTGACTTACCCTTTTCAGACGCTTACTATGCTCTGTGTTTTGTTTGTCCTTTGCAAATTGTTTTTTCACATCCTCTGCCCATTTTTCTACTGACAATTTGTCTTTACTTCATTTATGAACTCTTTTCACACTAGCGCTATTGACTCTTTATCCATTGTACATATGTTGAAATACTTTTCTTAGTTCATCACCCTTTAACCTTGATTATTGGGTTTTTTGGTCCATGAGGTTTTAAATAATTTGCTGTCATGATTTCTAGATTTGGTTTTATACTTAAGGAGGCATTCTCTATCCAAATATTCCTTCATTGTTTTTCTTCTAGTACCTTTATGGTTCATGTTTTTCATCATTTCGGAATTTATTTTGGTGTAAGAACTGAGGTATAGATCCAGTTTTAGTTTTATTTTTTCTTCTTCTACAAATAGCTAGCTGGTTGTCTTTATAACATGCTAGGAATCATCTGCCTTTTTGTCTCTAATTCAAAACGCCACACTCACTTATATCTACTCCCGGATCCTCTCTTCCACCCCATTGGGCTATATAGGCTTACTGCTTTATCAACATTGAATTTTTCTAGGCTATTCACCCATGTTTATTTTTCCAGATGTACCTTATAATCATTTTATTTAAGTTGCTGGCATTTTAATTGGGATTTTATTTAATTTATTGATCAATTCACAATACTTTAAGTTTATTCTTGGCTACGTTATGCTTCTCTTTCTTTGGAGAACAGAGTCTTTTACCTCTGTGCTTTCTAACTGGCTCATCTTGGTGCTATCTTCTTCATGAAACCTTTTCCAACCAACTTGGCAGGAAATGATCACTCCCTCCCTCCCCAACACCATGTCTTGCCCACATCACTTCTTACTTTTTGACCCTGAATTACAATTATTGGTTAGATGGTGAGCTCTCTAAAGGCAGGGTCCCTGCAGGACCTGCTGGTGCATCTCTTGCCATATCTGGTAGGTGTTTGAGACCATGGAGATATTTATAGGGTCAATAAATAGATGAATGAATGGATAAACAAAAGATTTTTTTCCTAGAAAGCTGCAAGTAAAGCGAACCAACACTATTATAAAGATCTACTTTCCCACAGGCTTTTATTAGAAAACAAGAGTTTTATTCCTCCTCCTTTTTGTCCTTGGATAAACCCCCAAGACCCTGTCTGAGGAAAAGAGGTGGTCACTGCTAGACCAATGCACCATGCACTACGTTGCCAGAGAACCTCTTCACAGAGCCCACCTCCCTCACCGGGACATCCCGGCACCTCTCAGGGAGGCTCTGGAAGCCTTGTGGCCCTCCAGCAGAAGCAATGCAGGCACTGATTGGGTGCCTGATGCTCTCTGAGACTTTTTGAGAATCACTTTTCCTAAAGATACAACAATCCTGAAAGGTTGCTATCACCTAGGCCCATTTTGCAGATGAGGGAACTGAGGCTCAAAGAGATGGAGCCCCTAGCTAGTAAATAGCAGGACTGGTGGGACCCAAGGCTGTGGGACTCTAAAGTCCTTGCCTCTCCCACAAAAACATCCAGAGCAGCAGAGTCTGGGGGCTGAGGGGCTGTGGCCCAGAGAGGAATCCCATATGGAGTCAGAGAGGCAGGGTCCTGCCCTCACTAAGCCAAGATAGTCCCTAGAGAACTTTTCTTCCCCCAGAGAAGCATGTTATGCTTACATATTGTTCCTGAAGAGCATCAGATTTGGGTCAAAGAACCACTGTTATGTAGGCTGAGGACATGTTCTGTAGGTCATGTTG